GGGATTTGTTTCTGTGTGTCACTGGGCTGTGTTTGCACATGCAGTAGCTACTTTACATTAACTTAATCCCCCTGACCCACATGCTGGGTTCAGGATAAACTCAAAAGTATAATAGAAATAAGAAAATGCACATACTGAAGGATGCATAAACTAAACAAGTTGGATTTGATCAAAACAGCTGGAATATCATATACATACATCTGTTAATGCACTTTTGTTCAAATCATATATATATAGACAAATATGGAAAAAATGCAAGTATTGAGTCTGACTTTAACCATTTTTCCTTAAACATCTCAGAGTAGTAAAACAAGACACCTAAATCTCTCTCAAAACATATCAACCAACAATAGCAAAATGATTGTGTGCTTTAAAAAAAATACTATTTATTTTTATCGATGTAAATTTTAGATTATGTCAGTTCATTTGATTCAATGTTACCAATATATTTTCACATATGTCGGATTATAGTTTTTTAAAATTGTCTGGGTTTTAGTCTCAAACTATTGTGAGAAAAAATGTAAAATAAACATACGGGTGAGTTTTTTTGTGGTTTGTTTTTCAAAGATAAGAAAATAAAGCAGTTTCTGTTTCTGTTTTTCCCCCGAAAATGTGAATCATTTAGATTGAAATGTGCAGAAAGCTGCGGGTTCTTAATATAAACTTGAACAGATGTCATAAAAATCCCTAAAAGTACAACAAATATTATTGTACCACAGCAAAGTCCTAAGAGATGACAATTGAAATTGAAAAAAGGGGAAGATTATGTTTCAGAGTATGTTAAGGTCAACAGGAAAACCTGTGTCTCACATCAAAAGCACATATGTTTGAGCGGTTTTACTTTTGTTGTCAATTTCATCAGACTGAGAAATCCGACTTCATTAATATGACAAAGAGCAGGTCCATTGTCTTGATTGCCATCATCTTAGTGACACAATCACACACAAGATATTAGGGAAAAGTCAAATTCCTTTGTGGCAATTTTGCTGATTGCCTCTCAGTCTCCAAATTAATGAATAGAACTTAATTCAGTCAAATGGTATTTCTGTGGTACAGGTTTGATCCATTCCAGATTACGGATTAACTTAATCCCAAACATGAGGGGGGGGGGGGGTTGTTTTGTTTTTATCTGTGAGTGAATCATCATTTCAAGTATTATTGGGGCTAGAACTGGAACCAGTAAACAAGATATTGGTAAAAAAAAAACGATTTATGGTTTGCCAATGCTACCATTTTCTGGTCAGACAAGATACTGGCAGCATATGGCTAAAAGGTATGTACTAATGACTAAAACAGAACCAACTAATCCCTTGAAAAACAGTCAAACTAATTATTTTATCCACTTATCCATCATCATCCATGCTGAAAACACTAATCTGAGATAGTTTCTCTGAAACTTTTTGGCGGTACGAGGCAGTTTTTGTGGTCGGTACATGACCAATGTGATCATTTAGTCGGTTTTCATTTTGGCCCCAATGTGGAAAAGAATATCAAAACACTTTATGTGTTTGAATTTTCTGTTTGATTTGTCCTCCTTCTGGCTCCCTGAATGGCTGATTACCCACCTGTATAATCTATGCAGCCCAGGTCTGAAACTGTGGATCAATTAAAGAAAAAGGAAAAATCAGACTGTGGGAATTTTTTTTTTTCATATTCATTTCTAGATCTTATTAGCATAGCTGATCGTTTAAAAGGAGTCACTACCTGCAGATATATTACCACTCTACACATTTACAAACTAGTTTCATGCTCCTCCCTGTCCTGGAACACATGGAAAAAAAGGTTGCTCTCTGATCTTTATTCAAAGTTCCATCTCTGGTGTTCTTAAATAAAAGCCCATCATCAGACTTTATGCAGACTTTAATCAGGGAGGTTTTAAATAACTGTTAACCACACTCTTCCCCCCCTTTTTATCTTCAACTTAAAAAAATAAAAAGCCTTTGCATGCACGTCCATAATCTTTGGACGTGTAAACCCATTACAGAATCTAGATTAATTATAGTAATTTTTTACTTTTCCTTTAAACTATCTGGTTCCTTCCCACATTGTTATAAATACAAAAAGAGAAATAAGAAATACATTCTCACTTTTCCTATCTAACTCTTTAGGTGCTCTTTTTTGGGCCATCTCAAGTCTCTTATTTTTCTATTATTATATTATATCATAATTATATTATTTTATATGTATTATTTATATTCTATATTATACATAATATGTTGATTGTAGATTATTAGATTGGTTTAAACAGGATTTTTTACTGACTATCATTAAAATACAGATGTATGAAGGTTTGTCATATTTATAAATATTTACCAATAGTCAAGTCTGAATCTCCAGTGAACATTCATTATGTACTAAAACAGGAAATGTTATGGAGGACTATCAGAAGTGAAGGATTTAAGCTGCACTGTGATACAAAACTGATTTTTCATAAGAGCAATCTGCCTCATGTGCATTTTTATGGACTAATCTGTTCTGAAAACACATTGAAAATCTCTAAGCATGTGCTATGATCGGTGATGCACGTAACTGGTACTGGTACGTCCATTACGGAAATTATATCTGTGATGTAGGATGTATAGGATATGTAGGATATTATCGACAGCCAATACGGCTGCATCCTCTCTAGCATGATTTCCAATACACGCTTGATCCAGTTCAGGGTTTTGATGTGGTGTGAGCATGGCTTCCATGGTGATATTACATATGAATAATCAAAAGAATGTTGCTAATTATTAAATGTACCAAATTTGCTGATTTATTTGGACATTTTGGACACCGTACACTGCCACACACAGCAATTCCCGTGACCCCTGACCCCTGACACACTTGTTTCTCATTTTACTTTGCTTTTTTTTTACACTGGGGAGCATTTTACCTGAGCATCCGCTGAGGTTTGAGGAGAGGATGTGCTTTTATAGTGGCCAACCCGTTTGAAGTGCCTGCCCCAGGCTCCCAGAAGCCTCGGCTCACCTGCCAAGGGGCCAAGATTCTGGTTTTATCATTGCCTCTGGTACTCGGTTATTTGCCTCTTTGTTTTGCAAACTGGGGGAGGATGCAATAAAACCTTTTGTGGACCATGGGGCAGCTCTATATTTGATTCTTACGTCCCTGTTGTGTCTCTTCCTGTTTCTCTGTAATGTAAATGCACTCGACGGCAGATTGTTGTCTGTTATTATTCACCGAACTGTCCCTTTATCACTACTTATCTCCGGTAATCACCCATGAGCTGATCGGGTTTTTCATTATGCCTGCCCCTCGTACTCTTGTGGTTTTAGGGCTACTTCGGCTTAGGCCGCCTAATCCTAACATTGAGTGGACACAGAGTGTAATCATTAAGTGGAGTGTGGGTCCCCAGGCCATAGCTACCTCTGATCTCTTGATCTTTCTGTGGTTCCCGTTTGCTATCGTGACTTACCTGAGGTATTTAGCAAACAAAAATCTACTACTGTCTGGTTCTCCTCTTCCATTCTAGACAATCTCTCCCGTCCCCAAGAGAGAGACTATGGGGGAGTGTGCAAAGGGGTCTCCTCATATTGTCTCTGCTGTGGGGTCTGCACTCCAACAAAGTGTGACAATCAATGCATGGGGAGCCAATGAACATGCAATTTAAAGGTAATACTGAAAGACCTAGAATTCAAGAGTCCACCAAAAATAATGACGAAAAAATTAAACAAATAGAAAAAGAACTGATACAAATGCAAAATGACAGAAAAATTAGAACCCTGGATAAAATATAATTCACTTTAAGGTTAAAAATGTAACTGTATAGACATCCAAGGTGTTAAAAAAGAAATATAAGACCACCTATAGACCCTTTTCTTACTTTTTTCACTATTCTTTAAAGGTCGCCAGTCCATCACAGGGCCAAACAAAGAACCAACAACCACACACACACACACACACTCACGTTAACTCCTGGGGGCAATTTAGAGTTTTCAGTTTAGTTGGATGTTCATTTAGGTTCATGCAGGTTTTTGGAAGGTGAGATAAAACCACATAATCACAACAACAACAACAAACTCCAGACGGAAAGGCCCCAAATTACGCTGGGGATTCAAACCAGGAACCCCTTGGTGTGAGACAACAGGGCTGCCCAAATCAGACATATTATGTTAAAAACAAATAGTTCGAATTCAGTCAGCTCTGGCATATATCTGACTTTGGAAGGTGGTCTATTAAAGTTGTTAAGCAGTATATATGCCTTTGAATATGCAAGCAAAATTTAAAAAATTGTTTAAAAAACATTAAAAACCGAGTGTGAGTACTGTTCTTCAGTTTATTCTTAGTTAATTGTTGAGAAGTATGAAAAACTATATTTAAAAGTATATTTAAGTATATTTAAAAGAATTTCAACTACGTTGTGTACAACACAATTTTTCATAATTTTCTCTCTTTCTTCATATAGTAATCTTTAATGGAATCATTGAAAAGTTGGTCATTTTTGCTTTTTACCTTCCCCGTCAACACACAATTACAATCCTCATGTTTGACTTTGAAAACATTGTTTCCAGTTTTGGGCATATGTCTAAAATTATAAAAAATAAAATGAAAAAAATTTCCATTTACCTTTTGAAATATTTTTTACATCTTACTTTTAATCTTTCCAGTAGAGAAAAACAAAGTCTACTGCATGAAAGTTTAATACTTTAGAAAATGAAACCCAGCAAAAATCTGTACATCATCAATACAAATAGATACAGGAAAGACTTGACAATGTTTAAATCCAGGCTGAAAACGGTTCTGTTTAACTGTGCATATGGAAATTGAATGTATTTTATCTGCACCCTTCACATTTTATCGATCTAATTTTTCTAAATGTTTATTCTTTTTCTTTTCTTGTTTTTCTCCTTTTAAATTCCCTGTGAAGCACTTTGAATCGCCTTGTACTCGAAATGCACCATACAAATAGACTTGCCTCGCCTTAAAGAGTGATGTGACTTTATTTTTCTGAGTATTTTAGACACTTCTCACCATGAGAAAAAACTACTTAACATCAGTCAATACCTCACAAATCCCTTTATGTGGCAGACAAACCAATCCTTAAGCAAAAAAAAGAACGATTTGGAAAAAGAAAGTCAACTAAATACAGATGCATCTTGCTGTTTTATTTGATTTTTTATGTATAAAGTTCAAAGTAGATAGCAACACAAACAACATAAAACTGTGGAAAACATTGGCATTACATTTTGAAAAGCATCACAATTCTATACAATTTGGCATCTCGTTTTATTCAAATGCCTCAAGGGCCTTTTCCGAGTGGCACTCACTTGAATCTGACTCAAGTTGAACGGGGATGTAAACAGGTACACAGAGATTGGAAATTGTTCATTTTGACCCTTTTTTTTCCATGTATGCTCTTTATTTTGTCATTTTTTTCTCTCAGTCCTCATTGACAGGTAGAAAGGAAGTGCAATTTCAAGCGGTCACCGGCATGTCCACCTGAAAGGAGCTAGTCAAGCCCTGTCCTCGCTGCATGCAGAAAAGAGAAGAAAAAGCCTCGTTGGATTCAAGCAAAAGTGGGAAAATTGTGTATTGAAAGTGTGACAAACAACACATTTTAAATGGACAGAGTTAGAGGTTCGCAACATGATTAAAAAAGCGTTTGGAAGTTCCAACCTCTTTAACGCAAACTGGTACAGAGACAATAAATATGCTAGTTGAAAGTATAGCACATGTGTAAAGCAACAAAAGTAGGAAAAACAACATTAACTAACCTAACTAACTGACCTCCAACCCTGTATTTTACCAATATATCTATCATTCTTCTCAAAGCCAGGCCTTGGCTGTAGGAAATCCCCTATATATCACTGACCATGTATCAATGGATTTCTTTCAGTTTCTTAAAAGAATAATAATAGTTAATAGTTAGGATTGGCTGCATTCTTACAAACATGCTTTGGATTTATTGGAAGATTTAATTGGAATTGAACGGTTGTTTGAGAATCCATATTGCTGTGAAAATCATTATAAATTATTATTATAAATTATTGGATGATTTATTTGAAATGGAACAGTTGTTTCAGACTCAATATTGCTGTGAAAATGATTATAAATTAGCCTTTTTTAGGGTGATCTTATACTTTTAACTAACTCAAACGAAGCATAGCTTTGTGACCCAGTCTCTGTATTTGAGTACATTACTTTTTTATTACCTTTGAATTTAATTTTGATACAATTCTTCAGATGCTTATCCCATTCCCTTCTTCTTTAAAGTGTTATCAAAAATCTTATTTTGCCTCTCAGCTCTTTCTCAAAGAAACAAGATGTTCTGCTAGCTGTTCCATTCATTAATGGTAGTAGCAGTTGTTCTAAAAAACAAAAAAAAACAAGATAAAACCTAGCCAAAACATTATGGATGTGCTCAGTGTGCATGTGTGTGTGTGTCTTTTCAAATTTGGACTGATGCCCCTGTGTGTTTAACAGCAGAACAGGGGAGCAAGCAAGCTGTTTTTAATGCTTATGAGATGATGAAGCTGATCTATGATTAAAGCTTAATATGGAGCCAGATTATAATGAATCTTGGTGCAGTGTTGCTTTATTTCTCCACCTCACCGTATGCTGGAAGTTAGCCCTGTCTCCAAAACTGGTGCAAAAGCTTGGGGTCTGTGTGGACTGCGCATTTTTCTTTAAACTTTTTCTTTTATAGGCCAAAAACCTTTCATTTAGGGTGATCAGTTTAAGGCTCTGTTTAATACTTTCACAATGGGCCTCCCTCTGAGAGTCAAACTTAATCTTTATTGACATTATCCAACACTTATTTTGACCTATATATATACACATATGGCTTTTTTTAATGTACATATCTATCTATATCATGAGGAATTTTGTGTATATATATATATATATATGTATATATGTACAGACATGTATATATGTATATGCCGCTGTTTTATTTATGGAGCCAGTAACAAAAATAATTTCCCTCTGGGATTACTAAAGTATTTCTGATTCTGATTCTGATTCTGAATGGTGAGAAATGAACGAGGTGTGAAAAATGTATTTCTATGTGTCGTCCATTTACCTCCGTGTCCGGGATGGAGTCCATGCCGGGCACGTGCAGGTTGCTGCGGTAGTCCAGACCCTGACCCTGATCCCCGACGGAAGGCACAAAACTCGGCATCCAGCAGCGGTCAGAGTGACCCAAAGCCTTACATTCCTCTGTGCAGTTGGAGAAGAGGTCAGCAGCTGCGGATGAAGGGACAGACATAACGAAAGGAACAAGAAAATATACGATGAATGTGAGAAAGAAAGCAGTACCGTTGCAACGTATGCTTATAATAGTCATGTGACATTCCCTATTGAGGCTTCCAAGCCTGTGCTGTGTAGGGGAGGGGTCCAAATCGAGTCTCGCTTCATTTAAGGGTCCTCCCCTTAAATGATGACGTGGCTCTACCACCTGACTGATTCAGGAACACTTTGAATGCATTTGCTTTTCTTACTCCCCGAATGAATTTGCAAACTCATTTGTGTCCACAGCTCAAGACTTTCACAGACTAAGCCGAGCTGAAAAAGGCTGGCTCGACACCATATAGTTTTCTCAACAATATTCTTGAGGAAGTAATCAGTCTAAAGTATCGTCTGGTTAAGTAAGTTACCTGACGGCCACTTTAAGTCTTAAAGTAGCTGAATTAGCTACCAAGGCTTCCAAATTCCTAACCACAGTACTGTTGGACTTTCCATTTACAGCACTACACATGCAGTTTTGTGTATTTGTTTATGAAAAATAAACAAAATAATATTAGTTTTGTGATTAAAACTGTTCCGACTGCCATTAGAAACAGTCTAAAAAGCAATCAGTCTAAAACATCGTCAGGTTGAGTAAGGTACCTGACGGCTACTTTAAGTCTTAAAGTAGCTGAATTAGCTAGCAAGGCTTCCAAAGTGCTAACCACAGTGCTGTTGGACCTTCCATTTACTGCACTACACATGCAGTCTTGTGTATTTGTTTATGAAAAATAATAATAACTAATAACCAAATAATAATAACTTAGTTTTGTGATTAAAACTGTTCTGATCTGCCATTAGAAAAAGTCAAATAATCCTTTAACGGATGCATCTATGACCGAACTTGTGTGTGAACATTTAGAGTTGACAGAACTGAATTAATCTATGTCTATTATTCTGCACGTTTCCAGGAATTTCTGAGCCATATCAGTGAAATGCACTAATGTTTGGGCAGATGCAAAAGAACAATGATATTAAGCGGAACAGGAACAATAAATAATGGCATTAGGACATCATTAATAGCACAAATGCTCCCACACAAACTAGCTGCTTGTTAGGTTCAGAAGCAAAAAAAAAACAAGATGGTCCATAGAGGTGAACAACGGAAAAACAAAGCTTTAGCTAAAAAAAGAGGCTGTCATTATATAAATGAGGTTCAGTTTTAGCTGCCTGTTTACAGGGCGTGCATGATACTATACACAGTATCAGCATGAACAAATCCAATAAACAAGCAAATTCCCTCATTTGGATACTACGACCACAAGGGTACGGTCCACTTCCTAATACTTTGGTCTGAATGGACTTTCATTAAAAAGCATCTTAGATTACCCCAATCAGTGGAACGATTGGGGTGGCCAAGTCTGCATTCTTGACTCTTTGCTTGCCCATATTAAATTGTTACATAGAAAATAAATATTCTTTGGAAAGGATGGGATCTGATTGTGTTTTAAGGGATTTCATGGAATCATCAACCAGTCTGTCTAGTTGCTGGGAACATTGAAATACCTCACTTGATGGCAAATACAGTTTAACAACAGCAAGCCCTGTTTATAGTTAGTTTAAATTTGACCAGCTCAGGAATCCATTTCATTACTAAAGGCCCAGCCAGTGATCTGATCCAGGAGTCACTCTGCATAGTAACGACCTGCGCATTAGAAAATCCATTTTCAACCTCAATAAAAAAAGAACCCGATAGCATGACATTCAGACAACCTTTTTGAGGAAAAAAAAAAAGAAAAAGTTAATCTATTCGTCTATTCAATCTTACCAGAGGAATGACCACGATTTGTGGCGTCATGGTCACTGTCTCCCTGCTCGCTGTCTCCATGGCCACTATCTTTGCAGCTGACCAGGTCGGCCTCCTGAAAAGCTGAACTGAAAACATATCGGCGAATTAAAAACGGCCTTTAACATTTTTTATACCATTTTTACTGTACTGATTGGATCTTTTCATAGTCAGTGTTATTACAGTTTTGACATATTTAACTACATGGATGGAAATGGGAACAACAGAGTGGACATAAACTGTCTTAAAAAGCTGTAGTGAGATTCTATCTTTGTATTTACCTGTTGACTCGTCTTGGCTTATCTAGAAGATAACGTTTAGCCTGAAAGAGAAGGTAATTCAGAGGTTAACTAAATCATCTTAGATAACATGATCAAGACAAAGAAGAATGGCATAGAAAAAAGCAAAAAAGTGGCAAGAGAAAATTAGCAATCAATGAATGTTGGTGGATTTCTTATATTAGCTGATGTTATGTGTTTGGGACTATCTCATTTTCATTAAGGTGGCTGGAAAGTGAGCTCCAGATTGAATAGTGCATTTCCTCAGGCTACAAGAGCACTGCAGTACATCCTAATGATGGCCGGTAGCTTCCTGACCACTAAGCTTATTGCAGCTAATCTCCTGGAAGACATGCTCAGACACACTCATAACTATTTCCTCAGCCACCGACGGCCCTCGAGCTGAATCTTCCCTGAGGGAACAAGAAGCAATTCGTGTTTGGCCAATACTCTAATCCTCATGATTAATAACCTATATATATACATATGTATATATACAGTGGGGGAAATAAGTATTTGACCCCTTGCTGATTTTGCAGGTTTGCCCACTTACAAAGAATGCTTATTTTTCCTCATCAGATGGTTATCAATTTATATAAATTCATATGATGTGATTTTCTGGAATTTTCTTTGGGATTCTGTCTTTCACTGTTAGAATGTACATATGATTAAAGTTATAGATCGTCGCATTCTTTGTAAGTGGGCAAACCTGCAAAATCAGCAAGGGGTCAAATACTTATTTCCCCCACTGTATATGCGTATGAGTGTGTGTGGAAAGGAAAAATAACGAGAGGGCCTCTTACCTCGTACGATATGACGTCAGGCTGCATATTTCTGTACTCTGTCGCTATGGTCCCATGGGGGTTGAGATCAGGGTCTTTGTTCCTGGAGGGACTCCGTGGCTTGAGGAACATCAGGTCGGTCTTGGCGGACTCTGGGGTCAGGCACACCTGGTAGCAGTAGCTCTGGTTCTGGTGGTGGGAGCCGAAGCTGCCCGACTCCTCCACGGAGACCTGGGTCACCCCGCAGCCGCTGGCGTGCACCGAGCTCTGCACCAGCATGATGTCCGACTTGCTGAGCTTCTTCCGGTGGGACCGGCCCTTACGGGAGCAGCAGGACCTGCAGCCCAGACAGCATTTCCCCGTCGAGCAGGGGTACGGGTTCAGTTTTTTGCTCCTCTGGCAGCGCAAGGCGAGGGCGATCATCACCAGGAGGAAGATAAAGGAGACGGAGCCGAGGGAAACGATGAGGATGACGGTGAGATTCAGAGGGCCGTCTTTGAACTTCCTGGTGTCTACCGTGCCCCCGCCGGCTTTCCCGTTGGCCAGGGCGCCCCCCATGGTCACCAGCACGCTGGTACTAGAGGACAGAGGCGGCTGACCGTGGTCTCTGACCTCGATCAGCAGGTCGTAGAGCTGCTTCCGGTCCTTCTGGGACGCCATCTGCCTGGACGTCCTGAGCTCGCCGGTCCTCCAGTCCATCCGGAAGACGCCGTTCTCGTTGCCCCGCCGGATGCTGTAGGACAGGCGGGCGTTCTCGCCGTCGTCGGCGTCCATGGCCACCACGCGGGTCACCAGGTAGCCCGGCTCGGCCCCGAGGGGAACCGGCTCCCGGGCCGTTCCGTTCTTTCCCAACGGGGCGATAACCACGGGGGGGTTGTCGTTCTGGTCCACCACGATGACTTTGACGGTGACGTTTGAGGAGAGCTCGGGGGTTCCCGCGTCTTTGGCGTGCACCACGAACATGAAATCCTTCAGTTGCTCGTAATCGAAAGACCTTAGGGCGTAGAGGTATCCCGTCTCCTCATTAATGGACACATAGGTTTTCACTGACATCCCTTGAATGTCACATTCTGATATGGAGTAGCTGACCAGTGCGTTTGGCCCAATGTCTGCGTCCAGGGCCGTGACGGCATGTATGTACGCCCCTGGTACATTGTTCTCTGTCACGTACACGTCGTATTTCGTCTGCGTGAATACGGGCGGGTTATCGTTCTCGTCCGAGACTTTGACCTGGATGGACTTACTACTGGCCAGGGAGGGGGTTCCTTTATCTCGTGCCACCACGGTGATGGAGAAAGACGCGGCCTGCTCTCGGTCCAGCGGCGCGTCGGTCACCAGAGTGAAATAATCCTTGAAGGAGGACTTTAACTTGAACGGGACATCCCCGAGGATCTCCACGTTGACCAGTCCGTTTTCCTCCGCGTCCTGATCCGACACGCTCAGCAGCGCGATGACCGTCCCGGGAGGCGCGTTCTCGCTGACCGACTGAGTGACCGTGCTGAAGGTGATGTCGGGCGCGTTGTCGTTCACGTCTCCAACTTTGAGGAGGACCTTGCAGTGCGCGGGCACCGCGTTCGGTCCCAGATCCTTCGCCTGGACGAAGATCTGATACGAGGCGCTCTCCTCGAAGTCCACGTCCCCGGTCACCTCCACGCGCCCGGTGCGCGGATCGATGCCGAACAGTTCTTTGGCGCGGCCGGAGATGTGATTGCTGAAGGAATAGACGATTTCCCCGTTCAGCCCTTCGTCCAGGTCCGTGGCGTTCAGCTGGATGACCAGCGTGCCCACGGGGGCGTTCTCCCGGAGGCTGACCGCGTAGACCGGCTGGTCAAACACGGGCACGTTGTCGTTGGAGTCCAACACCTTGACCACGAGCAGCGCGGTGCCGGTGCGCGCGGGCTGGCCGCCGTCCACCGCCGTCAGCACGTACCTGTGCGCGTCCTGCTGCTCCCGGTCCAGCGGCTTCTTCAGGACCAGCTCCGCGAACTTGTTCCCGTCCGATTGGGTCTGCACGTCCAGATCGAAGTAGTTATTAGTGGTTATGTCGTAGGTGTACAACGCGTTGGTGCCCGCGTCTGGGTCAAACGCGCTCTCCAGAGGGAACCGGGTGCCCGGAGTCGCGCTCTCCGATATGTCCACAACGATGTCCGTCTCCGGGAAACTGGGCGGGTTGTCGTTAATGTCCACCACCTCGACTTCGACCCGAAAGAGCTCCAGCGGGCTCTCCAGGAAAACCTCCACACTGAGCTGGCAGTCCGCGCTCTGCTTGCAGATTTTCTCCCTGTCGATTTGCTCGTTCACGAACAGGGCGCCATTGTCCAGGTTCACCTCCAGGTACGGCTTCCTCGAGCCGGGCACCACTTGGAAGCGACGAGACGCCAGCTGGGTCAGGTCCAGCCCGAGGTCCCTGGCGACGTTACCCACCAAAGTGCCATGCTGTGCCTCCTCCAGGACAGAGTAGCGGATTTGGGAGAGCGCTCTGTCCGTCACGCACAGGATAATGGCCAGCACGATCATCGCCAGTCCACTTAGTTAAAAAAGTGTATAGACGCGTAAATGTATATATCATATATATTCTAAAGAGCAATGTACATGTATATATACATGTTCACGTATCAAATCAAGATAGAAAAAAGCACAGTTAACCGTTTCATCCTCTGGTAATGAATAAAATAAGATCTATCCCCCATTTCAGCCTCAGATAAAAGTATCCGGAATGCGTAAAAGTCTCCTGTATCATGGAATGTAGGCTACTCCAGGTAAATCTGTGAGATGAAAGTATGCAGATTTCGATCTTCTGAATAAGTGGAAATGAATGCAAGAGCTAATTTCTTTTTTTTTTTTTTAATTCGGCCGTCTTCCAGTTCCCATCATTCTAAAGCGCGCAGACGACAGGCAGCGCCGCTGTTTAGACGCATCCAGGAAAGAACTTCCAAAAGGACTGTCAGCAATAATCCACCAGAACACGAGTCCCGCTTCTCCTCAGCGACGGTCCGCGATCAGACAATGCGTCGCAGACGTTTTTTGTCTCTTCATTTCACCCTCCGTCCTCCACCGGAGTCTACTAATGCGGTTCCCATTAATTGCGTTTACTTCCTTATCCTACCTCCCCCCCCCCGTAGCCCCACGTCTGTCATTTGCAATGAGAGCTCTCATCTCATTGGTAGGGATAATTTAACGTAGTCCTTTTTTTCCCTTGCCCCTTTTCTATCTCTCTTTACCTCTCCGTGACTATAGGATTGATTTGTTGTAAATGGCTGAGGTATGAAACAACCATTTACCCGACGTTTATCATTAGTGATTGCGTCCCCGGTGCCCAAACTGGGAGTCCTCTTCACACCTGCAGATGACTCATGGACCAGTGTGTCCTTAGAGTGAGCAGAGGACTTGTTGACTCGGTGTCTATGGTTTTTTACTTAGTTACTGTCACTAAGTTACAGTCCGGACGGTGATTCAGGTAGCAGCAGTCCACGGTCTGCATACGACCCCTAGTGACATGACTTGTACCAACAATCCGCATCTTATATATTTTCTTTCAATTTGCATGTCTAAAAAGCAATATAAATCATAAATCAAATGTATAGTTACATGAAAATAGAACTAAACGTGTCTAAAATGAAATTCGAATAAACGATGCTGACTGGGGAGCAGGTGGAATGTCTCTTTTTTGGAAAACCAAACATTAATATGAGCAGTTCTGATAACGTTGACTTAAATATAGATTATACAGGTTGTTTATATTTACCATATGATATAAATTATCTTATTTCTTAGGCGATAAAAGAACAATATGTCTCAATTTAATTTCATAACCCTCACCCTTTATACTGTACATTCTTAAACTGGTCAGAATGCCATATCTAAGTACAGAAATTAATACAAATAACATATCAGTTAATCTTTTGTTGTTGTGAAATCACGTAATTCGTTTCTAACGTGTTTTTCTTGATCATATAAATAGGACTGGTGGTGCAGTTGAATGCTTGAAGCTCCAAAAGACATGCTTAGTCCACCACCTTCTGGACAAAGAGAAAACAACACCATAAAAACCTGACTGTCCCAAATGGTTTCACTTTTCCTGTCCTGGCTCTGAAGTTCAGAATTAATAGTTATTTAACGATATCATTTCTGTGAATACTAGAACCAAAGGAAGAAGCAGGTTATGAAATGAGAACATACATCTGATTCACTACTGAACAATGCAGTGAATGTAACAAAGAGGAGGAGGAATTGTGATTGGCTATAATGACTTTTTTTCTTTTAAAAAGACAACTAATAAGTCATTGATGTGCTAAAAGTCTTGAGAGCTTGACGAGCACAAGCGGCAGTTAAAAGAAAACTATTACAAATTGGTCATCATTAAGCCTGTATCTTAACATTATTAACAACTATAATCCAAATATTATCACTGATCACTCAGATTATCCAGAGAGACAAAGCTAAACAGCCATTTTGTTCCGATTCACATGCACAGAACCATTTATTATGTAGCGACCGGATAATAAATCACTAAAAAAATACAATGCCCTGTCTCCATATGGGCTCACCGCTGAAGGGGAAGAGCATAAAGGTCGGGTTCAGTGTGGATCAGGCAGCAGGCGGAGGCTGGAACCTGGGCGTGCCAATCCTCTGAGCTACGAACCGGCTTTTGGGATGTGAAAGGTCACCTCCCGTCACCGGCAGGGAAAAGAGCCCGAGCTGCATCTGTGCTACCAGCTGCTCCATACCTTATGATGAGGGTTTTTAAGATGATCGGTAAGCAACTAAAAAAGAAAAACAACCAAAAAGGGCCAAAAATTCATGCAAAGATCTAAGCTTTTCTTTCAAAAGCTAATCAGTTTTCTATGTTAGGGAATAAAAAACCACTACAAGATGGAGCCGTGGGTTCTTGTTGGATGATGAAGTGCTTTTAAAAGTATAGCCTCCACTCTCTAGCACCTTCTCTTTTGCTTAAGGTGTTTATGTGGCTGGAGCTCCATCCATTTTAACCACAGAGACCGACTCGGGTTTGACTCCACTCTGGTCAAACACATCCTGTACTGATTACTATCCCCTTTAGACTCTAAAGATCAAACAGTGCATCCATAATGCTAGAAACTGTAATCAACGTTGCAAAAAATCCTAACAGCTCTCTCGGGGCATCTGTAATTCCAGCACAAGCACTTGAGTAAGCTAACAGCTAACAGCAGTTAGCTGACAATTCTTAAATTTGCCAAAACAACCTTATTTTTGGACATGCAAATATTGTCGAATTCCTGCATTTTCTCCCGGCACATCATCCATTCTCCAGCTCTTTTGTGAGCCACCGTTTCACAAAATTGTTGTCTTAGTGTTGAATCTGAGAAGTGGTTTAGTCCATTATATTTCTAGATTTTGTAAATAGTAAATAATAATAGTTGGTTGACGGGTCATACTTTGAACACGCCTGCCTTAGAACCTGGATATACACAATATGTCGATACTACTGGTCCTTTCAGTGTCAATATCTACAAAGATCTGAGGCTAATGCTGGCATTCCTCCTGAGTTTGAATCTTTCTTTTTAAAAAGATTGTGTAATTAGTCCTTGCCTACCTTCCTATACGAGAACCCTGAGTGTAGATACAGTATGTGGAGGTTCTACTGGTTGCGAATGTTGCAGTGCAACTTTGTTCTCCAAACGTTCTTACCTGCATGTATTCATGTTTGAACATCCTGATATATGCAGATGACCGCATGATTTCTATACATGGTGGCAGTATGACCCAGGAGGCTGATGAAACTAACACTATAGTTCATGGAAGGAGTGTGGTTGGTAAATAAATGGGTCTAATTATAGTCCCTGAGTCAAACATTGTGTTGACCCAGATTGTTACTAAAGGTGAAAATCATCATATTCAATACAAGTAACTTTGAGTTGTGAGTGATTCAAAACTACATGATGATACATATGAAGATATTATGAAATAGGATTACTTTACCCCTTACCTACGGCCAAAAAGCTGACACTGTGCTCATATGTAGAGAATATTATTACCTAAGCTTTGTCCTAGTTTACTCGAATTGATCTAAAAAATGTAATCGCTTACAGAGAGTCTAAAAATCTGTGCTTTCTGTCGTTATAATGTATGGTATATTTTACAGTCATGTGGTCTACACTCCAGATTTGATGGAAAACAAAGCATATGTTGTTTGTATTTACCAAAAGTAAAGTAGCAATTTTTAGCCTAAGTGGGTAAAGGGTTAAAAACAAAATAATCCGTTGTCATTAGTTACTTAGTTGACTGTTCTATATTTTCTGATATGAGAATCCGTTTCAGTGTGAGTGGTTGTTTGTCCTTGTGTGTCTCTGTGTGGCCCTGTGACGGATCGGTGATCTTCTTTGACTTGGACTGTTTTGGGTCAACCCTCCCCATGTTACCCTTAGTACCTGTATCTGTACCTGGTCACCCGGCCCTGACCCCTGCCTGTCCAACCTCATAGTGAATAGGAAATAGTTATTTGAAGGCCAACATTTGTATTATTTGTGTTAGAAATAGAGGAGATTTGAGATAGGCTGATATTTAGATAACGCTCAAGGATCAGAAAGGTAAAGAGTTATGCACATGGTAAAGTGGAAAATAGGTCGAAACACCAAAGAGGTTTAAGAAAGACTGCTCATAAAAAGCAATTTCTGTATAATTAATTATATAAAGTTGTGTATCTTCAGGGGAAAAAAAACACGTCATTTTCTATAATCAAAACAGTTCAAAGTTACTGTATATATACTTTATCTATACATTTGTTCTGGTCACATGGAATTCACGGATGCAGGCTTAATCATTTTTAATATTAATAGTGGCTTAGCTGCCATTAAATATAAGGTCAGTGAATGCAACATTTTTACATTCATACATTTTGGTTTATTTATTTTATTTCTATATTTCAGTTTGACTTATTTATCTATTTTATGACCTTTGACATTTCGAACCGCTAACATTCTGATTTTTCTAAGCTTGTCACTGTCAGTTTGCCTCATGTGGCTGGGCGTAAGTGTTGACGATGTACACATGGGTTTTTCCACATCGCAACTTGGAAGAGGTTTTTTTTTCTCCCAATGGGCAAACAAGGCCTTTTATTTTTCGTAAACAGATAATCAGTCATTGCCTCCGTCTTGCTTTCCTTGTGTGCGCCACACAAGACGTCCTAGGTGAGCAATGTTCTGACGCACCACATGTCACATGACATCAACTGCTGAATTATGTTTGCTACGTGGAGGCCGAGAAGATATTTGTTGGTATGAATCACATAACGCTTGGTGTGTGAATCTATTTGGGCAGAAATGGCACACAGAAAATAATTATTACATTGTGAGGTCCCCAGGTTTGGAGGCTGTCTTATCTTAGACCTTTCTGTTGATACTAAATATGTCTTTATGTTAAATGAACCCCATAGAAGAACAAAGAAATAAAGTAATGTAAACACAAATTGCTTGTGTTGTTTTTTATTCTCCATTTGTCTTCTTGAAGGGTTTCAACACAAAGGCAAATTGTTTTTTTTCTATTTAGCTTATACAGATGCAGCAGCTGTTTCTTGACATGTCTTACTTTTCTTTGTATCTTTGTGAATTACTCTTTATTCATTTTTGCTTTGTAAGTCTTGTCAGATTCAGTATTAATATGTAACTATAGTTAATATAAATAAAGTATGTAAGTATAATTGAAAGGAATATAGAACTATTTCAACAACTATTAAGAAAACGATTATAAAGATGCCCTTTATAAGTGTTTTAGCATGGACGTGGTATTCAGATTAAAGATTAACAATCTAGGGTTGATACAATTGGACTACATTCTATTTTTTGGGATTATTACTATTGTGGTACCTCTGTTGTTGAAACATATCAAACTAAATCACAGTGTTGAAGCAGAAATTGACATGCTGTGAACTACTGTATAAACTATTAGGCCAAAGGTAGAATATAGAACATTTTATGTTTTCTTTTCCTCTCTTTTCTGGACTCATCAAACTCGTTTTCCAGGATAAACTTCTGTTCACATTGTCACCAAATGTTACTTCCTGTATCCTCAGTAGCTCACTGTTGGTCCTGACCAAATTGCCAAGTGTAAAAGGAAGTCAGCCAACAAGAACGAAACTATTCTTAATTTAAATCCAATTCAAGCCCTCATTAGATTGTAATCAATTTACTTTATACATACATAGAGATATTTATTAAAAGTTTCACTCCTCGCCAAAGGGTGTGGCCAAGGAGGCAGCTCCAAAACAAGCATGTTGTTATTTGGAAATAAATTCTTCTCCATTTCAACTACAAATATGGTCAACAAACGGAAAATTAAAGATGAATCTCAGTCCAAAAATCAGCTCATTTAGTGAGGTTAATTATCATTTTGGTTCTAAGATGGCTATTGCCCCAATTGATCTTGTTCATATCAACTCAGATCAATTGGACCTCCATACAACCAAATAAACTGTGTACTTATCGTACATTTTAAAAAGATGGTTTCGGTTTCAGGTTATATTATTGTATTAGTTTTCAAATTCAAAGACTATGCATTAATATCTGAGAAGTTATTAGAGGTGTTCTATAATTCTGTTGAACATAGAGTCCTGATCAGCTTTTGTGGTTTAAATTTGATTTTAAAAAATTCTCAAAGAATTCAATAAAAAAAAAAAACAGAATGCATGACGCAGAGCAGCCTATTTCATGACTTTAGATAGACAACTTTGTTATTTTAAGGAAGTTTTTCCTTGCCTGTGTCGCCTAGTGCTTGCTCATGGTGGGAATTGTTGGGTTTCTGTAAATAACTTCAGAGTAGGGTCTGACCTGCTCTGTCTGGAAAGCGCTGTGAGACAACTGTTGTTGTGATGTGGCGCTATATAAATAAAATTGAATTGAATTCTGGATTACAATCAACAACAGTTTCCAAGTTGCAAAAGGTTGCTACTTTGTTTTTAATACAACATATCAACATATTTGGCATAACTTTTTTGTTAAAACTGATACAACATATTCTACTGTCTAATTAATATATATATATATTTTGATCATATTCTAATACAAAAAACAACAACATTTGAAGCAGGATTTACGTTCAGATCACATTAATGTACATTTCCGATCATTTTTCATGTGATGTCATGGAAATGTGCTGAGGGACCTGAATTGTTTATTGTTACTCTTTGCTTACGTATACCTTTTGCCTTCTGTCACTATCTATTTCATATTTTTCTCAGTGTGTGTGCCTCCGCTGCATATATGACTCAGCCAAACAAGGCAGCAGGGCATGTATGATGTAATATGGGGGAAATATAAGTCTGGTCTCTGTTCTCTGGATATACATTAGGAGAAAGCTAAATTAAAGAACACACAAGAAAAATCCACTGCATTTAGACATGTCTAAATATGTATTATTCAAGTTTCTGGGAGGTATTTCTTGCACTATTGCTCTTTGCAACTAAAGCTGGAAATTTTCTATTTGTGTTTTTCGTTTGTAAAAATTTTAATTGGGAACGTTCGTAGTAGCAAACCTCTAGAATAATCCGAATTGGCAAACGGACAATGTCTATGTCAAAGTCAAAGCTTCCTCTGATTCTTTATGGAATCCTCTTTTCCTGCTCTTTTTTCACTCTTCCGTTCACCACCAATACGAGACAAACCATCCATGGCAGCCGATCGTGGATAAAGAGCATTGGCAGCTCCTGGAACAAACGGGAAGTATCAGGAAGAGACGGAGAATATCTGCTGGGAATAAAGAGACTGAGGCGGCTTTATTGTAATGTGGGCATTGGCTTTCATATTCAAATCCTACCAAATGGGAAGATAACCGGAGTACATAATGAAAACAGATACAGTAAGTAATTTTGACTTTATTTGATCCATTCAAGAGAAAGATAGTATGGTATGAAAGATGGTACGGATAAAAGTGCTACATTAGAAAAACTGAGCATGCTTTTCATTTTGTTAAAAAAAAAATTTTAGTTGGTTTGTTATTTTACAACTTTTTGAAAACAGGATTTTTGTTACCTATTTTCAATACATCAGTTTTGATGGTTAATTATAATCAATAAGGCACCTGCTAATTTCTGATCTGATTAAATACATTTATTTGTGATTAGCCAATTTGAATTAATTTAGATTATCCCTTCTTACAGTGGCTCAACTTTGGTTTGGTTAAATGTTTGCCAAGTTGCCTTTGAGCTTGGATTTTGGCGAAATTTATGACTAAACTTAGAAGTACCTGCACGTTCAGTCCGGTGTTTTAGAGTCCACAGTTTAAACCGTTTAGATAGGAGTGTGGAACTTTTTACTCGCTGTATATCAGCAATGCCGATTCTAATTGAGCAACTCAAATGCATCTATTGTTGAATGTTCAAATGTCCAGCCACGATCATGTAAGGAAAGTTTAATTTACGATAAGCCTTCAAGGCAGGCTTACTGAGGAACTCATGGCAAGGGAAATTTATTTGCATAGCACATTTTGTATAGAAAGATTTTTCTCAGAACATTAAAAAGAAAGTGCAATAAAAAGTTAAAGTTTAAAAGTGAGAGTTTAGAAGGAAAATTTAAGAACAAGTTAAACTAAATTTAAAAAATGAATGATTAGATTGATCAAAATTGAGGCACAGCTAGGCACAGGTAAATAAAAACTGTTTTCAAACTGGACTTGAACATAGTCAGAGATGAGGCTAAACTGCATCCTTTGACTGTCATGACTCTTTTCTGACAACTGCAGGTTTGGTTGTGATAGAAAAAAACACAAAAGGAAATGAGCAGACAAAGCAATTTCAACAGCGTCCTCATTTGGAGCGTCACCCTTTGAGATGAGCACATATTAGAGTGTGTCCTCTGTTATGTTTGGGCGCGTACACACGCTGATTTAGACCAAACATCTCGAGGACCATGGCGAGTTCTTTACCTCGCCCCTGTTGGGCTGCGTCCACATGCACGTTATGACTAAAACAGTCAAAATCAGCGCACACGTATGTGAGTAATTCAGTAAAACCATCAATAAAGCAGCTCTGAGATGTATCTGATCCTGTTTTTTTCATGTCTTTCTGTTATTGTGCAGCAGAGCAGAATGAAAAACTCTGAACATCAAGCCTGGGCCACCATCGATTCATGAAATTAGTAAAGAAAATATGTGATGGAATCTAAATTAAACAAAGAAAGAACTAGATCAAAACCCACAGTACAAAACACAGTTAGTCGTCAAGGCGACACATGGCAAAATGAAGGTTTTTAACTTTAGGAATAATTCAAAATTGATGACAAAAAGTTTACTGATAGACAAATGAACATAATCTGAATTTATTTAAGTTTGAAATCAAAGTTTAAAATGAATTTATTTAATTGAAATAGTTCATCTTAAATTACAATCCTTTGATTGTGACCTATCTAGTTTGAATTCTACTCATCTAGTATCAGCTGGGAGGTTCAAACCTGAGCACACAAATGCTAAACTAGAATCAATTGCATAAACTGACTACCATGAAAAAGATTTACCTTCACTTTTAGGGTGCTTTGACACAGGGAGGACCCAACAGAGTTAATTAATCATTTAAAGCCTAATCCAAGAAATAAATGGAGAAAATTAATATCTTTAGTCTGAATTCTTAATTTGGCACTTTAACAAAATTTATATGAATAAAAACAAAGCAATCGTTTATATTTATATTAGAGTATGTATCATTTGTTACCATGCGATGGTTTCAGATACATAAGATTTCAGAAACTATGTAAATATGATACATACGGAATTATAGAGCTAAAACAAAGAAAAAAAAAACTATTACACTCATGTAGTTTGTGTTTGTGTGAAATTAAATAAAGTCAAGTAAAAATATCCATACATCAATTTACAAGTTCATATTTCTAAAATATTTATGTATTTACTATATTTATTACTATATATTACTGTAATTAAATCTGATTTTTTTTTAAAAACTTGTATGAATATTTCTTCTCTGTGCATATATTTTTTTAAATTTTGAAGCTATAATCATTTAGCACTTGTTAGTGACGAGTATTAATAATAGTTCTTCAATGTGAAAGGCTTTGGGGTCCTTATGTGACTTCAGTACTAAACCAACGTTTTAGCTCTGTTTTGGATCTGTTCACTAACGGATTGTTCCTCTAATCATTTTAATATTCTTAAAATACACCAAACATTTATATTGTGTTTTGTAAAACTATTGGGTCTATTCGGTGAAACGTAAATATTTGATCATTTATCTTCACTATTAGTAATATTACTTCAGTAATAATAACTTTAGTTTCTCCAATACTCAGTGTCAGTTCAGGAAGCACTTTGAACTGGACGCTCATTTTTTATTTGGTTTGGGGAGTGGATTTTAATCTTCTTGATTCCTTTTGACATTTTCTTATCAGCATGTAATGGCAAACAAAGATGTGCATCTATATATTAATAAAATGAAAACATTACACTGTTTAGTAGTTCATGCATCACAGACCCCTGATTAAAGACATATCATTACACAATCCATCAGACATATTAGCTTCCTTTTTTTAATATGGCCACAATGATAATGGGTCCATTATCAACAATGACCAACGGTTTTTATCAAGTTTGAAAACCACATCCCATTTTAGAGACTCGTCTTATTGGAGGTAGAATTTCCATATATATTTGTATTCCTTATTTGAAGGTTTTTAAAGCTTATGATATTAATTTTGTCATTGCAGGCCTTATAGAGATTTCTCCCGTTGAGAGAGGAGTGGTGTCTCTGTTTGGGGTGAGAAGTGGTCTCTTTATCGCCATGAGTGAGAGGGGCAAGCTCTACGGTTCGGTAAGAAATAACCTTATTCTCATTTGAATGTAAAATATCACAGTCAAGTCATATTTTTTCTAATTTTTTAGAATATTTTTTTCTAGAATGACTGAAGTGGTTAATTAGGTTTTTCATGGTTGACACCATGTCTTGGAAGTTGGAGTGCAACTTTAAAAGTTTTACCATCCCTCAAAAAGAAATAAAAAAAAAAAGTACTCTCAATCCCCAACATGAAAATGCTGTCAGAAAGATTTTTTTTGTGTGTATCTGTGGCATTATCACAAACAATTCACAATCTCACTAACTTTACATATATTTACTTTTTCATTCCCACCTTTTTAGGCCAAACAGCCTCAGTTCCTAAAATGTATAGAGTAATAAAAGAAAACAGACAAGTACGAATACACAAATGAGGCGTGAACTTTTAAGAGACGTAGGCTTTTAAAGACTAGATAAGGAAGGAAATTGTTCGTGACACTAAATACAAGTCCAAAACATAGAAACAATTAGACTTTTCTTCATAATCAAAGTAATTAATAGAACAATAATTTCAATAAATAACAAGTAACAATTATACATTTTATATTAACTTTGTCACTAATACAATAATAGGTACCAGTTTATTGGCTAAATCAATCTTACTGTGATAAAGGTGAGAGTGTAAGTAAGCTATGTGCATGAAAAATTAGAAAAACATCCCAATAACTATTAACAAATCAACCCTGAACCATGTGGAACAGCGTTTTTAAATCCTGTTGACATAAATTACATGTTTAAAAATTACTATAAAGATTTTTACAAATCCAAATATCCAAATATCTGTATTACATGGACAAACAAGATTTATTTTTGAATGAACTGAATCGGTATTTATGAGAATTTGGTGGTTGAGAATGTGAAAGAAACACTTCACCACCAGAGCTGTGCTAAGGTAACGGGACGAGGCCTTCAACAATCTTTTAAATCAGCAGTAACTTCAGTCCTGTGTCATGTGACGCCAAAATATAATGAAAAAGCAATGTCTAATCACATGTTGAACAGACTGACTTTGTGCTTGGTAAGCAGGAGTATGAAAATAAACATGTATAAAATAAGATGTAAGCGACCATGCATAATCACAAGATGTGGGACAAGTATTTTAAGCATAGAATGGAAATATTTTTTTGAAACTCCTGAAAGATCTAGTAAAAACATTTTTAAAAAATCAGTCGGCCTTAATTTGATTTTATACCGATTTGCTTATTAAAATACCAATAAAAAAATCAACCAGCATTTTAGACCTACATGTTCAGGGTAACAGCTATGATCATTTATAATTTTTTAACACTATCCCATCTAAGGAGAGACGAAACAAAATGTTGACCTGATTTTTTCTGGCTCTTACCCCAGTTAGTCAGCATGTCATCTTAAGGTCCATCTCAGGTCCATCTTAAGTCCAGTGCATCTGGACCCTGCTGGCCACCAGCTGTTGCTGGATGGGTTTCTGTAGGCTTCCAATACACCTGGAAAGTTGTGGATCTCTATTCTCCACAGGGCTTTTTGTTTGGAGATGGAGATTTGGTATGGTGACTTTGCTATAAAGCAACGGAAATAAAGGATTAGGGTTGGTTTGTTTGGTCACATGACCCACTCTGCCAACTACAAACTACACTTTGCTGGGAACACGTACTCTTCCTTTTAGTTATGCAGCAGTGGAGGGTGAAACATGCAAACAAAATAAATAATAAACATGTGAAGAAACATAGCAGTCAAACAAGATAATAATAAAAAAAAAATGTATATCTTTCTATTATTTCATTCTTATTCTTTTTCATCCTTCTTGTTTTAATATTGGTATTTCACTCTCTATTTCTCCTACTGTGATTCTCTAAATGTTATGTGTTAAAGGCTAATATGACATGAGCTGAGTATCAACTCTTTATCAAAAGTATGATAGAAAATGGTATGGCCTTTGGTGTGCCCTTAGTGCTAGTTATGATAGCCACTAACATCAAAATAAACATCAAAATAGGTCAAATATGATTATATGAAAGAGACAACAAACAATAAATAAATGTCAAATAAAACAATACTGATTTTTTTTTTTTAATACATCAGATATCAGGCAGATGAATGATTCGGTGAAAGTATAAGCCTGCATGACTTCCTGTTTCTGTTTCTGGACCCTAGCATCTCAAAAGAGAGGGGGAGAAGATAAACTGTCCAGTTAAGAAATACATCTAACTTGCATTTCCTTGGCTTCTAATACAACAGCATGCTCTGATTTTTGTTTTTGTCTTGTTTGCAATAATGCCACCCCCCCCCCAAAAAAAAAAAAAAAAAAAAAAAAGAAAAAAAACAACATATCTTTATAGAGTGGTGCATTTGCCTTATTACTTGCATTGGGCTCAACAAGCCACTAGGGGGGGCAAATCTGAAGTCTAACCTCATCTAATGAGCATTCAAATTAATTATCTGTAAATATTTTAGATATATATATATATATATATGTGAGGAAAGTAGCATAAATAGTCCATTAATCAGTTACTGTACTTCATAAAACTTACTCATACTTCCATACTCACTCCACTACTCTTTCTATACTTCCCTCTATCTCTAACTCTGACTATGGATTTTCCTCTAGAGGGCTTTTTTTGTCAGATTGATGATAACTGTCACATTGTGTCTACTTTGTAAGTTGCTTTGGATAAAAGTGTCTGCTAAATGCCTAAACATAAACATAAAACATTCATGTCATTATGGATAAAAATCTTTTCTTTTTTCCCCAAACGATCTTAAGATCTGATTAATACATGTGTTTTACTGTGTATGTTTTGTTTATACTTTTCTGCTCAGGGCCACTACGATGATGAATGCAAGTTCAAGGAGTTATTTCTGGCCAACAACTACAACGCCTATGAATCTGCGGCCTACCCCGGGATGTACATCGGTCTGAGCAAAACCGGCAAAAGCAAAAAAGGCAACCGGGTCACGTCCACCATGACCATGACACACTTCCTTCCCAGGACTTTTAATTTTCACGATCAAGAGTCTGAAAGCTAAGTTGAGGCAATGTTTGATTGCACTCGATTGCTCATTATTTAGCTTTTTTTCTCACTCCAGCTAAGACAGAAATTGTACATTCTGAGATACACTTTGCGATGTTGTTACTACTGCAATACACTAATCGACGATAGAAGCAAAAAGCCTATGAAATCTGTCTACAAAGAAAGATTAATGTGGCATCAACTTTGGAAATGAACGCTTCAATGGACTTCTCAAAACACAAAAATGTATCATTGTTGTTGCCACAGGGAAAAATAGAATCTTGGATTTTGTCAAATACAAATCATCCATCTTTCCATTATCTATATGGCTTATTTGCAGTGGGGTCATGGGGGGCTGTAGTTCCCAAAATAATAAAAAGTGCAAAATGAGAACAAGCTGTGTGTTTTTCTTAATTCTTTACCGCTAAGCTACAGCTAGTTTTTTTGTCGACAATGCAAAATTTGTCATAAGATGACCTATATGTAAAATGAAAAAGGGAAACATTGGATGTCTTTAAAAGCAAACCTTGTTACTTCATGTTTTTGGAAGATTTCTTATTTTCTGACAAAGCCGGAAAAGTGACATTTTCTTACCTGATTTGAAATGGATGACCAAGAGAGAGCCCGGTCATCAGGGAGTGGATCCGGGTCACCTGACCAATGCATCTGGGGTAAAAGGGGATCATAGTTAGTGGTGTGTAATTTCCTCTCATGCTTGCAATTCTCCACTAGTATACTTTTGAATTAATTCCTATTTTTTGGTATCTTTTTCTACTTTCGAATTTGGTTCTGGCCCAAAAACACTGAGTGACCACAACTTGTTGACTGTCCACACTGATTGGCTGACAGATTTAGCATTCAACACACCTTTGAGACACTTTGAATGCCTTTTTAATACCTTTGGATGAACAAACACACCCAGTGATGCACTTTATTACTTTCTCAGTCACTGTGATGGTGTAATCTGGGGGGAAAACAGCCTACGTGTCAGAACAGTGCCATAGGGACTCCTCGCATATTGCTCATTGGTTAAAGAAGCAAGGTGTCTCGTTTTATCTGCCACTCATGGTTTATTTGTTCTTGATTCTGGTGGAAATCGTGAAAATGGGGTTCCCAAATGGCCACACCCCTGGCTGGGTAGTTCCAGATGGTCTCCTTTAAACCTTAATTCTGTTCAGATTTTGTAGATACCTGCTGGAAAGAAACTGGAAATTAGAAAAGGGTTGTTTTCCAATTGGCTGTTAGCATGATAAGAGAAAGAAAACAAATTAATTATAGTTTTTCAGTACAATGCATCGCCAATGAACTGTTTTTTTTGTTTCTCTTGTTTGTTTGTTTGTTTTTTCTTGTTTACCTGCAACTGATACTGGACTGAGGATAGCCACGGTGATTTGGGTTAATAAAAGACTATGAACCAATAGATATCACTCCTAAATCTGACTATTTTCTGTAGGAAAGGCTAAAAAATGACTATTCTAAGGCATACATCTATAACCTTGAACTGAGTTAAAATTAAGCTAAGCTGAATAAAGAAAGCTGATGTAAATGCATGAAGATCAGTGTGTGTATTTATAGGTTGACATGTGAGTTTAGGGTGTGTGTGTGAGGGAGAAAAAGGAGTTTTTCAGGAACAGAGTCTAGAAGTTAAAGGACGGATTTGGTAAGATGGACACGGGCCGGCAGAGCCGAGGTGCTAACTTGTGGTATTAGGGATCCAAATTAAATTAAAAGTACGCAAACTAAAGTAAGTAAACTACAGGAAAACGTAAGTGTCTTTATTTCAGTCTGAGGAGTATGTTTGAGATGTATTTGTGAGAGAGAGAATAAAGCTCTATGACGTGAAATAATGAAGAAATATTCATGAAATGAAACATGCAACAACAGAACATGCTTTGGAACCAGGAAAACAACAAAAACGACAAAGAAAACCATAAAATATCAGTCAAACTGGAGTATCCATAGCAGGATTGGAAGTAGGAAAACTGTCCTGAGAAGGTTTTGCTGAAAGTCCTCTCTGTGGCCAACAGATGGCACTGTCACTCCATTTATCACCCTTTTCTCTCCTCATCTGCCTTCTCTGTCTCTCCCACTGGAGAAACCTTAGTAGTCATCTTCAGAAAACGCAAACAGACCAAATTTAAGCCCAGACAGCTTATGAAACCCCCATAAAGAAAACTCTCTTTCTATTTCCGTCCATCGGTTTCATCAACTGGCGGACCACGCGGTTTCTCATTATTACTTACTCAGACTTAGTCAGATGTCCCAAGCTGGTTACTTTTTTTGCCATTTTTCTTATCTTATAGATTGTGATGCAACAGCGTGGAAGTAAAATAAGTTTTTCTGTTTGAGAATTTCTAAATATCTGCAGGCAAACAACCAAACGCATAAAGATATTTGCACAAAAGGAAGCTGCTTCCTTGACTCCGTACACACAAAATGACAGTAAAGTTGTCTAAGTCTATGTCTACAGGACTGTCTCAGAAAATTAGAATATTGTGATAAAGTTCTTTATTTTCTGTAATGCAATTGAAAATCATGAAATGTCATACATTCTGGATTCATTACAAATCAACTGAAATATCACAAGCCTTTTATTGTTTTGATGTCGCAGATTATGGCTTACATCTTAAGAAACCCAAATATCCTATCTCAAAATATTAGAATATCGGATTTTTGAGTTTTCTTCAGCTGTACGCCATAATCAGCTATATTAAAACAATAAGAGGCTTGCGATATTTCAGTTGATTTGTAATGAATCCAGAATGTATGACATTTCATGATTTTTAATTGCATTAAAGAAAATAAAGAACTTCATCACCATATTCTAATTTACTGAGACAGTCCTGTATACCTATGACTAAATGGCATCTCCTTCTTTTCTAAAGACGATCCGGTAACAGCACACGAAGGCTTTTCCTTTATTCAACCTCAAAGTGAAACAAACTCAAAGAAAAACGCTAATTAACCCCCTCGTAGTGACTCCCATACACAGGATTGGACCTGGGCCTCTCTTTTGGAAGTGACCGGGTATTCGTGAGTCATCAGTTGAGCTTTTGTGTGTATGAAAAAAAAAAAACTGACTCAGGCTGAGCGATAACGGGAGACAGATGGGGCGAGAGAAGAGCGAAACATGGGAAGAGGAGGAGGAGGAGGAGGAGGAGGAGGAGGAGGAGGAGGGGGAGGGAAGTGGGGGAGAGACTCAGGAAAACAGACGGGTAGATAGAAAGTGTCACTGAGGGGTGAGTTAAATGACATTAATGATGCTGCGTTGGTGTGAAGTGGCTGTGAATCTCGGCAGTCTCTCTCCACTCGTTACCATGGTTGCTGCTGCCGGGATCCCGATCGCAGAGCACAGATAATGAAGTCAGGTGTGTGTGTGTGTGTGTGTGTGTGTGTGTGAGAAAGAGAGGAGTGAAATGCAGAGGAGGGGATCTTACTTTCTGTGTTTATGTTCTGAAATATCACCCCACACGTGTATGCCATCCTGTGAAACGGTGTGACCTCAAACAAAACACACACACACACACACCAATACACACACACACACACACGAGTGCACGTGTGTGTGTGAAAGCTTGTCCTAAATTCCTCAGGCCTGGCTGGATTCCCCTTTTCATCCCTCGCTTTTTTCCGCTTGACATGAGGAAAAATTGGACCTGTTGGCACGAACTGAAAAGTTGGACACCTAAAAAAGAAAAAAAAAGAGAGGCAGACCAAAGTGAGAAGCACAGCCCATGTACACAAACACCCACACGTGTGAGGGGACGCTCGGGGTGAGCAAACACAAAGAAGAGCCGCGGAGGTAAACAGTAATAAGCGGAGTGTGGAATCACGGCGCTATGAATTAATGTCAGTTACCTTGGCAACTGCTGCTTGTGAAATAAGGATGTAATGGAAGGACAGAGAGAGAGAGAGAGAGAGAGAGAGAGAGAGAGAGAGAGAGAGAGAGGGAGGAACGGAGAAGGAGCAACAGTTCTAAACAGGAAAACATCGGCTGGCAGACGTTAAAAAACACTAAAAGTAAAGAAGAATCCCACGGGATGCCGATGGTTTTCCTCCATCTTTGGTCATAGTGTCGTTCTTTTGCTTTCAATCACCTCGTGTCAAGCGGTCCTTTAATATGCCTTCTGCAGATAGAACTCTTCTCTCTCCATCTTTAAGCTGTGTAGGATGGTGAATACACCATTTCTCTGTTTGGGCGTTCAAATATGCAAGTTTCAAACAGATCCACTGGCCTGTTTAGAGCCTTGACAGAGGAAAGACCTTTGGAATCTGGTTGGGAAAGTGATGGTTAAGATCCAGTGAAAGATCTGAGAGATGCACTGAAGACTAAAACCTAATTAACAAAAGGTTATCCTTTTATGATTGTTTAGAAATACAGTGTGTGTAACCCACTTTCAACAAACATTAAAAAAAGGGCTTGGAGTATTTTAGGAATGAGGTGGCTGAAGTATAAAACTGAACATGTCAGGGGTATTTTTTCGGACTATATGGTGTGTTAGGTTGTTTGATTCTTCCTCACATAATACAACAGTTTGTTTTAATGTGTTTAACAAAGCACTGAAGCCACATCATGTAAGCCTTAGTCAATAAGCATTCCTGAAGTCGGCCCTGAACAACAGTAATGCCGTCAATTTGTTTTATTTTTCGGAAAAAGATCTTCCAGGAAAGCAACAAGAGCCTGTGAATGTTAATAACCACAGTGTGCACTGAATAGAGCTAATTAAGTAGCATTTCTAAAGAAGAAGAAGACACCAAATGGGAGATCAGAGATAACTGCTTTAAAGGGACTTGTATGTTGAGATTAATAGTTCGACTGTGCAGCACCTGATTTAAAGAACATAGAAATTTAATGTGAAAATGAAAGGGTGGGTCACGGAAAGATTTTTTTTTTTTTTGCCAAAATGGAAAGCACTGTGAGAAACAAAATATATATATATATATAATAATGTTGATGATTATACAGTGTACAAGGTATTCCAACTATCTGTCACGATCCGTGATCAGGAACAGGAC